GGGGGGCACCAGAGGCGGGAGACCTGGCGGCAAAGACTCTCTCCGTCGCGCCCTGCCCCGCCCCATGCTAAGCACGCGTCGTGCAGTTGTTGTACGGCTAAGTGCTTTCCTCTGTAGGCGGGGGCGGGGAACTCCACGCCTGGCCCGGGCTGGCCGGCCCCCACGCTGCCGCGCCCCGCCGCCGGGGGTGTCTTTGTGCGGATCCAGCTTGACACGGGGCCTAAGGGAGACGGAGAGGACAGGGGGTAGCGGGGCGCATCCCGCTCGCTCCGGCGGGGTGTGGTCAATCAATCTCACGAGAGGAACGCCCCACCCCGCACCGCCCCACCCTGCGGTCGGAAATAATATGGACACACGCGTAAGTCCCGTACTCACTGCAACATTGCCCGCACCGCATGACGAAGTGATGTGTAACAACGCGCTGCTGCCGGTCACAGCCGACCCCGCCCCACAGCACAGGTTCAATGATCGCAATAAACGTGAAACAAGAGACCACTGTGTTCGCACACAGCGATTCGGATCACGTTGGCCTAGCCTCGCCCGCCTCCTAGTTCGTTTGCGCCCGATCGCACCCCCAGCCCGACGCCCGCCCAGCCCCGCAGTATAGTTTGGTGCCGCAAATAAAGGCAGCCGACGGACAAAGTTTCCAACGTGCAAAATAATTCGCCGGTAAACAACAACGCCCGACGCCGCCGCCCACGCCTACACTACCAGCGGCGCAAACCTTTCCGCGCAGTGTGTGTGAAGCGCAGCTGCGGGTACACTGCGATGAGGCAAACGCCGCCGCGAGTTTGGAAATAAGGTGGGAGGGCAGAAGGGAAAGTGGGGGGAGGGGGGGAATCTCGCCGCGCGGATGGGGCTTAAGTGTCGCCCGGAGTTAGAGCCCCCCCTCCTGCTCGCCGCGCGCGCGCGCCCCGCCGCCGCCGGAGGGTACATATTGGCGGAGAACACAACTGCGTCCAAACTCCAATGTAGTTAAGCCGAGGGGGCATACACCGCCGCGCTACCCTACGCCACGCCCC